TAGCTTCTCCCTCTTCTTATAAGGGAACTAATCTTATCATGGGGCCCCATCACCTCATCTAAATCTACTCCCCAAAAGCCCCATCTCCAGGGCTGGGTGTGCGGGTGCATGGAGGACGGATGATCCATGGGAGGGGTGTGCTGGCCAGAGGAGAGCAAGGCGGCCTGGCAACCAGGGCCCTCGGGCTGGAGCCTGGGGAAAGGCAGGGGCCAGTGGGAGCAGGAGCAGCTGCAGACCGAGGCGGAGCTTCTGGGACCCCGGCGCACCCTCCGCTGGGAATGCACCCCACGCTCAGAGGGTCCTCCAGACCTCCTGTGACTAGGACGGAGGCCAGGATGGCTGGGGCTGAAGCGTGTGAGCTTCTGTTGACGAAAGCAAGTCACCATGACATTGGGGGTGAGGGCTTTAACATGAATTCTGGGAGTGGGGAAGAGCCAGGGAGACACAGTTCAGTCCATAACGGGGACAAATACAATAGGATTACAGGCTGGGTTTCACAAGATGCCAAGGTAAGACTCTAAGGGCAGCCCCTGGCCCAAAGTAGACCTGAGATGTGTCACATCGCTCACAGTTACCATACTGTGAGAAGCTGTAGCAACTTGGGAACTCCACAGTATAAGGCAGATGTTCCTAAGGCCACGAGCAGGTGACACAGAAAGGCAGAGTGGGTGAGCCAGAAGGAGTGTGCAGAGATCCGGCAGGGGCCTCGTTACCCAGTGTTGTAATTTTCCTCAGTGGTTGCTGATACAACGTTGAGGTTTTCATGTCTCTCCAGAGACAAGGTTTTGAAGGGCAAAATAAGTTTTAGCGGTTTTTCAACACCTGCCCCAATGCTGGATCCCAGCGAAGTGGTCCCCAGGGTCAGGCTGGGACCCCCCTGTGGGAGCCCCCACCCCACCCCGCACCTTTTGGTAAAGAGCATATCCATTGTCCTGGAGCTTTCCAGGGTCCCCAGGTCCTCGGTGGGGGCAGCAGACTCACCGCCCCTCCCCACCAGCTGATTTTCATAGATGTCAACATCTGGGATTTCATAATAGAAGGCTGAAGAATAACTATTTTCCATGCCTCTCGTCCTCGAACCTGGAAGCAAAGCCAGGGACCCACATTAGCCCTCAGAGCTCCTGGTGGGCGCCAGGGACAGGCCCGCAGCCCCCCATCCGCGTCAGGGAAACGAAGCCCCATCCCCCCAACCTGGTCGACGCCCCTATCCTATTGAAAACTTCCGGAGAAACCTTGGCCAGCGCCCTGAGGCGGTCCCCGTCCCTCCAGTGGGGCGGCAACCACATTAAGGGCGGTTGGAGCCACCCTCGCACGACCTCTCAGGGCCCTGTGTTAGGGTCAGTATTACGCCTGCTAATGGCCCCAGAGGGGCCACAAACAGTAGGCTCCCCCTCCCCCACGGGCCTCTGAAGCCAGCCCGAGAGGGGTGGACGGACAAGTGCGGGGACACGGTCCTCACCCGACCTCACACTCACAACCTCTCAAGCCCGCCAGGCCCCAAATTTCCTGCCTGTCCCGGCCCGGGGAGGACAGAGGGCCATGCCCAGGGGGCGTCGAGTCCCCAGCACAGGCCTCCCCCGCCGCCCCCGCAGAGCTCCGGAACACGCCCCTTCCCGGCTCCCCGCGCTCCCGCCGGGATCCCAACCGCACCCCTGCCGCGGGGCCGCACCGAGGCTCAGAGAACTGGCTCCCACCGCTCGCGGTCCCCCCAGGGCACCGACCAACACAGAGCAGCCCAGAGCAGCGCCCAGAGCCGAGAGCGTCGGGTTTCCCTGGCAACGCACCCGCCGCCCACGTGCCCGCTGCGGCGCTCGGCCTCCGCCAATCCCCGCGCCCGGCCCCGCCCACGGGCGTCCTCGGCCGAACGCGGGGCGCCCCTCTGTGACCTCACAGGGCCCCCGGCGCGCGCGCCCCCGCCGAGCCCCCCACGCCTCTGCGCGTGCCGGCCTTCCGTCTGAGCTCCGCCAGAGAGAGACGCGGGGACCCGGCCAGCCCGTCTCCACCGCGGACACCGACGTCCACGTCGGAGGACGGGGAGCCAGCTCTGGGCCAAGGGCTCCCGGGGGGGCAGCGCTAAATGCTCCAACGGCCCCGCGAAGAGCGCACGGGGACTGTGTCCGTGAGACACCGGAGGAAACCAAGGCACAGTGAGGTTAACTTGTCCACCGCCACGTGCCAACACGCCGTAGAGCCAACATCTGAAGAGCTCTGCCGGACTCCAAAGCCGGTTTTTGTCGGTTCCGTACAAGTTTGTGGCAGGCACGGAGTGGAAGCTTCTGGTCCGGTGCGGGGACAAGGCGACCTATGGGCTCCAAGTCACAGAGACAAGAAGGATTAGCTGTGTGGACCGAGGCGTCACCGGAGAAGACTGCGGAGAGGGAGTCCTGAATAGGGCTTCAGAGGATGCACAGGAGCTCTCCAAACAGAGGAAGGAGCGCAGTACAGCAAACTGGACTAGGATGCGCAGAGGCACAGCGGTGGGAAACGGCTCGAGGGCTTTCTGCAACTGAAGCCATTGGAGCCTCTGAGAAAGGTGGGGCTCTCTGCAGGCGCAGCGTCCAGGGTCCTCAGCCCAGGCTGCCCTTTAGAACATGGGGAAAGGGATACGCAAAGCCCATGCCCAGTCCCTTCCCCAGTGGCTAGATCCTGGCTAGGGTTCTGGGGTGCTTCCTCCAAACCTCTATCTCCCAATTCACCTCTCTTCTCCCTCCATACTTACCTTGGTTCCTGGATCCCTTCTCTCTCTACCTTTTATCCTTCCCCCTCAGGTCCCATCTCTCTGCCCTGCTCCCTCCCATTGCAGCTTGGGAATTATAAGCACAAACTAAACTGTCTTTAAAATTCCTTTCGGGGGCGCCTGGGTGGCTAAGTGGGTTAAGTGTCTGACTCTTGATTTCCGCTCAGGTCATGATCTCAAGATGGTGGAATCATGCCCCCCACATGGGGCTCTGCTCAGTGCAGAGTCTGCTTCTCCCTCTGCTCCTCCCCCCACTCCTGCTCTGACTCTAAAATAAATAAAATCTTTAAAAATAAAATAAAATTCCTTTGCTATGAAAAGAGAAAGAGGGACGCCTGGGTGGCTCAGTCAGTTAAACGTCTGCCTTCGGCGCAGGTCATGATCCCACGGTCCTGGGATCAAGCCCCTCCTCAGGCTCCTTGCTCAGTGGGGAGCCTGCTTCTCCCTCTCCCACTCCCCCTGCTTGTGCTCCCTCTCTCGCTGTCTTTCTCTCTGTCAAATAAAATCTTTAAAAAGAGAGAGAAATGGTCAACTTCAAGATATCTTACAAACTTGGTAAACCATACCATCTGTTGCAGGTTGAATGGCATCCCCCCAAAACCTGAAGTTTAAATGCTAAGCCTTGGTACCTGTGAACGACCTTACATGGAAATAGGGTCTTTGCAACTAATCAAGTCAAGAAGTCATACTGGATTAGGATGTGCCTTAAACTAAATGACTAGTGTCCTGATAAGAAGAGGGAGATTTGGAGACCCCAAACACACAGGGAAAAATAAACTTCTGTTGTTTTAAGCCGCCGAGTTTGTGATGTTTTGTTACAGATGAATCAGAAAAAAACATTTACTATTATTAGAATAAAACAAAGTACAATATCATTGTATACAGGGTTGCAAGATAGCTACTTTTCACTGAAACGGATCCCGGAAAGACGTCCCTGAATGACACTGGCCATCAGAAAAACCTGAATAAGTCTTATGTGGCAACTTTGTGGACATTAAATGATGTGGGTTTTTTTAAGAATGTATTTGTGAAAGCACACGCACGAGCGGGGGGAGGGGGGAGTGGCAGAGGGAGCGGGAGAAGCGGACTCTCCGCTGAGCAGGGAGCTCAACTCGGGGCTTGATTCCAGGACCTGCAGGACCTGGAGATCATGACCTGAGCTGAAGGCAGACACAACCCACTGAGCCACCCAGGAACCCCTAAACGATGTTAACTTTATTTTTTTTTTAAAGATTATTTATTTATTTATTTATTTGACAGAGAGAGACACAGCGAGAGAGGGAACACAAGCAAGGGGAGTGGGAGAGGGAGAAGCAGGCTTCCCGCGGAGCGGGAAGCCCGATGCGGGGGCTCGATCCCAGGACCCTTGGATCATGACCTGCGCCGAAGGCAGACGCTTAACGACTGAGCCACCCAGGCGCCCCGATGTTAACTTTTTTAAAAGTCAGAGTGATGAACCAAAAATTAAGAAAAATAAAAGTACTGGCATATGAAGAAATGAAAATTTAACAGCAAATAGTTTTATTTCATATGAACTGTGTTTTACAATAAAAGGGAAAATAAAATGCAGAAATTACAAAGGGCAATTTATTAGGAAGCAGATAAAAGGGAACAAACATAAAGCTGTACTAAAAGACACCTCGGCCGGCAATACAGTTATTAGTTCCTAAGAGGAAGCGAAGCCAGACAGCCTACCAACAGAACGATATAGAAGATACTGGAGGGGACCCCCTCTCCTCCGCATGGCAGCTGGAGAAGCCCACCTCCCCGGGCCCAGCTGGGGCCCTGCTACCCGCCCCCTCCACGGCCAGACCCGCTCCGGGACGGGTGCCCGCATCGGTGAGCCACCCCCCACCCCGGGCGCAGGGACAGACACTGCAGCTCTAGAAGCCCAGCCTCGCAGGTCGGCCCCGGCCACGATCTGTCCAGCCCAGAACGCCCGGGAGAAAACACCGCCCTCCCGCGCAGGATCGCGGGTCCGGGTCCCCTACGTCCCCCCAGGACCGCCCATGCACCCCAACGTCCCGGCCCCGCCCGCCACGCTGCGGCCAATCCCACTCGCCCGCGGACCACGAGCCCAGCCAATGGCCGCCATCCCCACCCGCAGCCAATCAGAGGATGAGCCCCGCTCTGCCCGGCCAATGCGGAGGCAGCCAGGGCCCCGCGGGTGGGACCCTCGGAGGCCTTTAGGACCCCGGGGGTGCCCGGCGGGCCGCCCGGCCGCCCAAACTAGTCCCGCGGACCGGGCGTCCGGGCGCGGGTCATGGACCCGGGACAAGCCAGCCGCCGCGAGGTCTCCGGGGTCGCCTCGCCCGCGCCACCGCCGTTCGTGCGCGTCGCCCCCTCGCTGTTCCTCGGGACTGCGCGCACCGCGGCCGCGCCGGAGCTGCTGGCGCGCGCTGGAGTCACCCTGTGCGTCAACGTCTCGCGCCAGCAGCCCGGCCCGTGCACGCCCGGCGTGGCCGAGCTGCGCGTGCCCGTGTTCGACGACCCGGCCGAGGACCTGCTGGCGCACCTGGAGCCCGCCTGCGCCGCCATGGAGGCTGCGGTGCGCGCCGGCGGCGCCTGCCTTGTCTACTGCAAGAACGGCCGCAGCCGCTCGGCCGCCGTCTGCACCGCCTACCTCATGCGGCACCGCGGCCTCAGCCTGGCGCGGGCCTTCCAGGTGGGGCGGGCCTCTCCGGTGGGTGGGCCTCCCCGGTGGGCGGGCCTCCCGGCGTTAGGGGCGCGGAGCACTTTGAGGCGCTGAGGTCAGCCTCTGCTGTTCGTACGCAGGCCGTGAAGAGCGCCCGCCCGGTGGCCGAGCCCAACCCGGGTTTCTGGTCTCAGCTGCAGAAGTACGAGGAGGCCCTGCAGTCCCTGCCCTGCCTGTCCGGGGAGCCCTCGGGACCGTGCTCCGGAACTAGAGGAGATGAGCTCCAGAATGAGCCCTAGTCCTTCAGCCCTTGGAGAGCACCCAGCCCCCGATGCAGGGTGCATGGAGTTGGAGGTAGTTGAAGCGCCGACTGGAGGGGGTCTTTCTCCTCCTTCCTTACTGTCGCACAGTTTTCATTTTCCGATTCTTCATGAAATGCTGCGCGTTTCTGTCCGTTTGACAGTACGGCGGGAGTGTATCCACTGAAGAGGGGACTGGAAGCGTCCCTTCCTTGGTCAGCACGTTTACCAGAGAGGGCTTGGTCAGGAAAATCCAAACCACGTGAGGAATTTTAGGCAGAAAGGTATTTAATACAGAGGGCAAGGCCAGGGAGCCAAAATCAGGAGATGGGAAAGTATGGGAGTCACGGAGACCCCCCCACCCCAGTCCTGGCCGCCTGCCACTCTGATGTTGGCAACTCCTGGAGGACACCAGCAATGCTGGCAAAGCCTTGTGCCTGCCAGTGTTGGAGCCACAGGGCTTTTCCCAGACCTCACACTGGTCTCATCTCACAATCTGGCGCAGAATCCAGACCTGTAACTGCAGCAACACAGGCCGGGATGTGAGGCTGCCTGAGCACAGCCTAGCGCCTGTGCCCACCTCCGACCTTACTGACCACCCAGTTTCCACAACAGCACTGAGCCCCGGCCTCACATCCCACAGCCACCCTCGTGTCAAAAATGCACTCACCACCTATGTGTCTGAGCATGTCAATTCTTCTCTTGGTTCAGGCACACCTCACCTGGATCCTATGGTCTAAAGACTATACCAGAAAATTAATCACTATCAACACCTCTAAAATAAGATAGCAGGAGGGAAAAAAGGGGGGAAACTGGCTTATAATATAAATTACAGATAATACAGCCCCCGGTTAATATACGCCACTATATACATATCAAGGTAATTAATAAAATATCATAATTAGTGTTTAATATTTCCCCTCCCCACTACTCATTTCATGTTCTTCTCCTCAGCCAGCACCTCGCTGGTCCTGGTCTTTTCCTGGCGAGGTGATTCGAGCCTCCATTCTGAAGGGCCCTGAGTGGCCCTGTCTGCACTGGGGCCGTGGCCTTCCTCGCCTCGTCCTCAGCGGGGAGCACTGGGGGCATCAGGAGAATGTCCGGAGCTCAGCATACTCCTCCTGGCCCCACTGAGTGGCAGCAAAGCCCTGCTGCTCCTTCAAAGTCAGGACCAGGCACTCCACCCAACCCAGCAGCCACGGATTTGCCTGTTGCCTCCGTGGCCTGAGGAGCCCAAAATGGTCAGGTGGTGTCTCAGCCTGCCACCTGCGTCCCTGGTAGAAGCATCATACCTGGGAACAAAACCTCTGACCCAGCAGAGCCCAAAGTTGTGGGGATGGGAAGCTCACACTTTGTGAGTGAGGCACGGGGATGGCCATGAAAGGGGCCCCCTCCCCCCCCCGTTACACCTACACCTGGGTTCTGACTGTGACAGGAGTGACACCCTCTGTTGGTCCCTGGCTGCAAGCATATACCACACCTTAGAGGTGGGCACCCAGCCCCTGGCAATATCACCAGTCAGCAGCTCCCGCCCCCATCTGCTGCAGCCTGTCATGACCTGCCTGTAGCTCACTGCGGCCGAGCCACCTCCTACCACCTTTGTGCACGGCTTGCGGGCTGCCTCACCCTCTCCAAGCCTCTCAGAGCTCATGGCACCTTGCCATCAACCCCCTTCCATACAGGGGCTACTGCCACTGTGTCCACTCAGCAGGCAAGGTTACAGTGACTTGGAGGTGAGCCGAGCAGTTTACCAGGACCTGAGTCCAAGTTTTTACCCAGCATGCTCAGGGCACCCTTCCCTGGCTCTGGATAACGAAGGTGCAAGGCGACAGAGCTGAGCCAGGTTGAAAGACATCTGTGGGCCACATCAGTGTTTTACCCACCAGTTCTGTTTGAGAAGCTCTTACTAGAGGCCCCGTTCTCCTGAGGACCTCTGCCTGCCTCCACGTGCACCTCCCAGCAGGGGAGGCAGGGACCCGTCCCCTCCCTGGCACAGTACACCTGAATGGTGGTGCCAGTCCATGAGCATTAGGGGAAGGCTGGGTGTAGGCAGTGTTGACTGCTTCAGCCCACCCAAGCCAGCTAGGATTTGATCACCAGAAGACTGGAGTATGGCAATTCCTGTGGGAGAAACCCCAGCCTCTGAGAGCCCCGATTCCACCTTCCTCTCCCTGGGTCAGGTCAGGGTGGGGAGAGGGGAGAAGTGCACTGCAGCTGCTCCCAGCCCCGCTCCCCTGGACAGCGGGTTTTCCAGCTTTCCGGAGGGCTGGAGTGTAATGCAGCCTCCTGCTGCAGGGTAAGGGAGGGCAGCCAGACCGGCTACAGGGAAGGGCCTCGGCGCTGTGCTGAAGGCACTGTCCCCTGCAGGACACAGACAAGGTGGAAATGAGGACAATCACAGCCCTCCACCTGTGGGCCTCACAGTTCACAAGGTACCTTAGTGGGCTGGCTTTAGTCCTGCAAAACAGATGTGTTTGCTCTAAAACTGGCTTATGTTGGTTCCTTACATAAATGTGGGTTAGCAGGCACCCCCACCCTGGGAGGAGAGGGGGTAACAGCTGTGGACCAGCAAGGCTGCCCCACTCCACCTCCTATGGGCAGAATTTGCCTTGGAGAGATACGCAGGGCCCTCCAGCAGAGAAGGGATGAGATGTAACCCCTGTTCCCCAAGTCCAGGGGACCGGGAAGACAAGAAGCCCCTGATGGCTTCTGAGGGCACAGGTGGTTGGTCATGAGGGGACGAGGGCAGGCTAATGTGGCCACCCACGTGCAATCCTGATGTTCCTCCAGCCTGAACCAACTGGCCTCGGGGAAGGGGCTCAGAGAAGCTCCTAAGACTGGGAACACAATCTAAAACCCTCTGCCCTTGGCACCTCAGGAACCCCACCACGTGGGCAGGCACTGGGCCACGTGAACTCAGAGAGGACCAATTAGACCCCAGCTCTCTCCTCTCTTGCGTCTTAGACGTAGAACTGACCTCCTCCTCCAGGTGACTGCAGGAGCCCTGGGATTCCTGGGGGGTTTGGGGTTGTGTTACCCCAGCTAAGAGGACCCAAGGGAAAATTAAAGCAATGCTCCACATGGGTGGACCTGGTCCTCCCTCCCCACCAACCATTCCTCCCACCCCTCCCCCGCTCCCAGGGAGGAAGGTGGGCGCCATCACATGGGTTACAGACAGGGACAGAGTCCAGAAGATTAAAGGCTACTTGGGGATGATGCCTGGCTGGGTGCAGCGTCTGCCCCACACCACGATGGAGCAGAGGAGAGCAGTGTGTGAGGCTCCTGGATGCCCTTCCAGGCCCCAGAGCTCCTTCTCCCCGAAGATGTGAATTCTTAACATCATAGTAACAGCACCATCTTGGTGGCCCCTCTCATTCCATGGCTTCTGGTGGATCTTGAAGCCTCCCTGGTGTGCAGCCCTCTCCTCTGGGCCCAGGCCTCTGGACAGGACCCTGCAAGGCGGGATGGGGAGCAGGCCAGATCCCTGCTACTGCCCCAGCACTCTCCTGCTCAACAAGTGGGGCCTCCAGGGCCCAGCCAGCCCTTAAGACAGCACTTTCTGCGATGATGGAATATCCACTCGGACCAACACAGTTGCCACTAGCCACACAGTATCCTACACACACGTGGAGACCTTGAAATACGGCTATGCCAGGGAGGAACTAAACTTATGACTGTATTTCATTTAAATCTAAATAGCCACACACGGCTAGTACTACCTTATCAGACAGCACAGCCCTAAGGCCCCCGAGCTCCACATGGCCCGCAACACAGACCACTGGTCTCATGGGGGCGGCGGTGAGGGAGGCGTGTATACACTTCCTGGCTTTGCAGAAGCAGAGACTGCACTAGGCAGCCGTTGCCCCAGGAACCTGACCCACAGCAACCCTCAGGAGCCGGGTCAGAAGAGCACAGGGCTTGGGAAGCCGCTTGGCCACCCGGTGCCCCCAGGCCCCTGTGCGCCCTGATCCTCCAGTGCACAACACCCCCGGCTCCGGCGCCCAGGACCCCCACCCCCACCCCGGCTTGCTGTCCGGCCCCGCGCACTTTGCCCCCAGTTCCCCTGCATACAGCTCCCCCGGCTCCCAACGCGGCCTAACCTTACCTCACATTGCCCCCCTCCCAGGTTTCCGGCGTACAGCGCCTCCCGCTCCCCGGCCCGGCCCCCAGTATAGCGCCCCGGACCTCGGGTCCCCAGCGCACGGCTCCCTCGTCCGCCCCCACCCCAGTCCGGTGCGCACGGCGTCCCCTGCTCCCCAGCCCGGCCCGGCGCACAGCGCCCCCGGCGGCGGCCGAGCGGAGCCCGAGCGGGGCGGTGCACGGCACAGGGCCGGGCCGGGCGGCTCCCGGCGCGACTTCCTGTTGTGCCCGCGCCCCGCCGCCGCCGCCGCCGCCGCCGCCCGGCGCCCCTTGCCCGCTCCCCGCGGCCCGCGCGGCCGCCGCCCATGGATTTCACCTAGCGCGGGCGGCTATGGCGGCGCAGTGCTGCTGCTGCAAGGCGCCCGGCGCCGAGGCCGCGCCCGCCCGACCGCCGCCGGAGCCGCCGCCCGCCCTGGACGTGGCCTCGGCCTCCAGCGCGCAGCTCTTCCGTCTCCGCCACCTGCAGCTGGGCCTGGAGCTGCGGCCCGAGGCGCGCGAGCTGGCCGGCTGCCTGGTGCTCGAGCTGTGCGCGCTACGGCCCGCGCCCCGCGCGCTCGTGCTCGACGCGCACCCGGCCCTGCGCCTGCACTCGGCCGCCTTCCGCCGCGCCCCCGCCGCCGCCGCCGCCGAGCCCCCCTGCGCCTTCGCGTTCCCGGCCGCCGAACCCGGGCCCGCGCCGCCGCCCCCGCTGCCCGCCTTCCCCGAGGCGCCCGGCGCGGAGCCCGCCTGCTGCCCGCTGGCCTTCAGGGTGGACCCGTTCACCGACTACGGCTCCTCGCTCACCGTCACGCTGCCGCCCGAGCTGCAGGCGCACCAGCCCTTCCAGGTCATCCTGCGCTACACCTCGACCGACGCCCCGGCCGTGAGTCCGCTGGGGCTGGGGCGGGGGGCGGGGGGGGGGCTCGGCCCAGGGTGGTCCCCCGGCAGCCTCTCCTCGCGCTGCCAGGTGAGGGGGCCTTAACCTGGGCTCTGCGCCTGGGGCACCTGCGGAGAGGCCGGGGCCAGCCTGGCCCTGGGGCGTCCGTGGCCTCCGGCCTGGCACTCCTCCTCCTGGCCCTGGAGCCCTGTTCAGGTGCTCTCAGCGATTTACAGCGGATGCCTGGGGAGTTTTTAGGAGCCTTGGACAAAGTGAGAGTCCCGGTGCTGGCCAGTGGGTGGTGGCGGCAGGGGACAGCATGCCACCAAGGGAGGCCTCTCCTTTCAGTTGTGCCAGAGTTGTCCCTGCCTGGGGCCAGGGCAGCTTCCGATGGGTACAAGCCAGTCCGTACATCTGCCCAAGCCCCGCACCGGGGCAGGCTAGGGGGAGGTGTCAGACATGGAAGGGCCTTCGTGTGACCTAGGTCTTCAGAGGACTTGGGGGCAGCTGATCTATTCTCTGGAGGTGGCTGTGAGGGACAGAGCTGCCAGAGCCAGAGAGGGCCGGCTTGGCTCTGTGCCTTGGGCCTTTTGGGTGAGGATTGGCCGGGGCTGCAGCTGGGTGCCCCCGCAGACAAGCACGTAGGCTCTGCCGGGCTTTGGGCACGGAACACCCAATGCCCCAAAGGCTCTGCCCGAAAGCCGAGGTGGCTCAGGTCTGGCTCGGTGGCTGCAGCACCCCTTCTGCCACGGTGAAGCTTTTAGGATGGAGCAGGGCCCTTCACTCCTGTGGCATGGGGGTTCCTTGGGTTCCCCCCACGTACACAGCATGCACACAGCTCTGAGAGGCCTTGGGGGGTTCCATTTGTCACTGTCTGTAGCATGCAAAGGGACAGGTGGTGTGGTGGCATCCGGCCAGGGGCCACCAAGGTGACAATCTGGGTGGGAAGAGCCCAGACCAGACACACACCTGTGGGCTTCCTGTGTGATTCCCAGGAACCCTCAGCAGGCCCCACCACCTTACTGCCTACCCTGAGCTCCCATGAGTGTGCCAGCTGCTGGTCCCTGCTGCCTGCTCAGGTCATCTGGGGCTCTGACAGGCGGCAGATATGCCTTCCAGCATGGCAGTGAGAACAAAAAGACCTGCTTCTCCCTGCCCCTGATCTGTGAGCTTGGAGCCCTTGTGTCTGGTCCACTCAAGACCATGAACAGCAGAATGGTGGGTCCAGGACCCTCGGCAGGCCGCTGGGGATCGGGTCAGGCCAACAAGAGCAGCCGTCATCCCTGGACTTTCTATGGCCTGGGGGCTGGAGCAGGGAGGGGTGTCATGGTCCCCACAGATGGTGCAGCTGTGGGCTTGGGGACAGGGGCCTGGCCTGCAAGCTGGATCACTTGCAGAGGACAGAGGGTTTGGTGTCTGACCCCGGGGCACCCTCCATCATGCAGGAACACCACAGGGCTCAGGGCCTGTGCACGGAGTCCCCCGTCTTCCTGGCTTGTTCTAGGACTCAGGCCTGGATCCCTAAACCTGTCTGTGTGCCGGGTGCAGATGCTGCTTCCCCACACCTCCAGAGGCAGTTTGTCTCTTGCATCCCATTCCTGAACCCCCCCAACCCCCCACCCCCCAGCAAGAACAGCTTTCTTCCTTTACTGTGGTGTCTGGAGTCAGTAGCCCATGCTTTCACCAGCCCCGCAGCAGCAGCAGCTCTGCCCCTGCACCCTGAAAGGATCTGGTGGCTCAGCTCCGGGCCAGGGCCCTACCCGCCTGGGAGTTTGCCCCAGTCCACCACTCCCAGGGAGGACTGTGGACCCCACTGGTCTCTACTAGGCTAAGGGGAGACCAGTGCTGGACGGGCCCTCTCTGGCTGGGCTGAAAAGTGGACACGGTGGTGGGAACAGGAGGCCTGAGATGGGCGGAAGCTGAGGAGGGCCCCAGGGAAGGGAGGGGTCGGGGGGGGGGGGGGGAGGCTGCGGTGGTGGAGCAGGTGTGAGAGGGGAAAGCGAGGTTGAAGGGGGTCTGGGGGACTGCAGGGGCCCATCCCCAGCATGGGCCAAGGACCACCTGTAGCAGGATCCACTGCAGAGTCTCCTTAATGGAGATTCCTGGGTGCTGGCCCCTGGCGGTTCCGGGGTGGGGCCCAGGACTCTGCAGTTTTGAACAGGCTCCCCAGACAGGCCTTCTGTACATCCAGGGCAGCCTGGGGGTCAGCAGAAAAAGAAAATACCACTGCACGCGTCCCTTAGTGCGGGGAAAGCCAAAAGGAAGTTTTAAAGAAGCCGATGAACGTTGGCCAGGAGTCTGGCCAGAACCAGATAGGTAGCCCTGCCAAGTCTGGGAATCCACTTGGGTTCGTGGTCTGCGAGAAGGGCAGCCCCGCCTGGGTGTGGCGGTCCACCACTCCTGTGATCTCAGCATGAAACACTGCGGGTGGCCAGCAGCGGCCGTGGGTTCCACGGACCCATCACCTGCAGAGGCTGTGGGGGGGTCCTGGGAGGACCCCTGTGTGCTTGGTCACCGAAGCAGACTAGGAACAATCCAGTTTGCTCCAGCGGTCATGTGCCAGCAGAGGGGAGTGTGGGAAGAGCAGATTCAGGGCCCTGCATATGCCCCAGTGGTCCTCCCATGGCCACTCCTGGCCTGCCCAGCCCATTCCTCTCCAAGTGCCTGGTCTCTCAGGGGTTCAGGAGCTTCCTTCCAGTATGTGGAGTCATCAGAAAGCTCCGGTTTTCTCCCATTTTCAGTTCTTGGCTCCCTTTCCGTGCTGCCAGGCCATGAGAATTTGGACTTTGGTCTTGGACGGTGCTTCAGTTTCCCATCGGAAGCTGGGATGAGGGGCTGGGGCCTGGAGACCCCCTGGGCTGGCTCCTGGGTGCCTGGCCTCCTGCTGGCCATGCTCTGGGTCAGGGGCCCTGCCTGCCTGAGGGGCAGGTAGGCGACAGTGACCAGGAGCGGCTGTTGGCCCTGGAGGAGCCCAACCAGGCCATCTCCTCCCGGGCCCCCGCTGTCTTCTTCTCCAGCTGCCGCCCCCAGAGGCTCTGGGCCGAGAAGCCTGAGCAGGTCCACAGGTTTGGGGCTGCTCCTATGGCCCTGCTCTTTCCAGGAAACCTGCCCAGCTTCCCGGAAGCAAAGCATGGTTGGCAGGGGTGTCCTGGCGTCCCCACGTGCCACCTTCTGGTGGGACAGGGCCCCCTCTTGCCTCGCTGTGGTGGGGACGGTGGCACTGGCTGATGCCCTGCCCACCGCCTGCCTGCAGATCTGGTGGCTGGACCCCGAGCTGACCTATGGCAACGCCAAGCCCTTCGTCTTCACCCAGGGCCACTCGGTGTGCAACCGCTCCTTCTTCCCCTGCTTCGACACGCCCGCCGTCAAGTGCACCTACTCAGCTGTTGTCAAGGTCAGCGTCCCCTGGCCTGGCCTGCCTCCTCGCCACCCTCCAGGAAGGAGCCCTCGTGTGGGAAGGGGCAGCCTGATAGGGGTTCCCAGCAGAGCATGGGGGCTCTTTGTGATGAGAGGTGCCCTGACAGGGGTCTCGGGCCCCGGTTGTGGGGCTCCCTGTCAGGGATGTGGGGCTCCCTACCACGGATATGGGGTTTCCTGACCCAGGGTGTGGAGTTGCCATTGGAGACAGGGGTCAGCCTGACAGGGGGCATGGGATTTCCCATCATGGACATGGGGTGCCCTGTTGGGGGATGTGGGGTTCCTTGTCATGATATGGGTTCCCTGACTGGGTTGTAGGGATTTCCACCAGAGCATGGGGTTCCCCATCAAGGACATGGGGTGCCCTGATGGGTGGGGCCTCCTCGCATGCAGGCCCCGTCGGGGGTGCAGGTGCTGATGAGCGCCACACAGAGCACCTACGTGGAGGAGGAGGGCGTCTACCGCTTCCACATGGAGCACCCTGTGCCCGCCTACCTCGTGGCCCTCGTGGCCGGGGACCTGCAGCCAGCAGACATCGGGCCTAGGTAGGGCCACTGCTGCTTGCTTCCCGCAGCAGCTGCTGCCACCGGGGGCCCAGGCTTTGGGGAAGTCCCGCCACAGGCCAGGCATGGGGCCCGCATCTGTGGCTGCCCCGCTGGGGACCCCGCAGCATGGGGACCAGCCCTGTGTCCCGCCTTTTCTGGCCTCCACCAGAGGCCATCCCTGCCAGGCTCCTCTCACCCCACCCACCCCCAGACCAGAAGCTGGGGCCCTCGGCCTCCTTAGTGCCCTCCTCAAGCCCATTCTCCTGCTGGGGCCACACAACATCTGACGCACCCTCAGGCTTGGGCGGGTGATTTCAACTCAGCGACAGAAGGAACCCAGCCCTGCCTCAGCGTGTGGCTTGACTGTTGTGGGAAGGGCCTGCATGGTAGCCCTCAAGTGAGGTGGGGCAGCGGGCTGGGCGCTTTCTGAGGTGTGGGTGGTATTTGGGCCCAGAAAGAGAAGGAAGGCCTGGTGGGTGAGCGGGGTGGGGGCTGGTCAGCCTCTGCCCACCCTCTCTGCCCCGTGATAGGAGCCGTGTGTGGGCCGAGCCGTGCCTCCTGCCCACGGCTACCAGCAAGCTGTCGGGCGCGGTGGAGCAGTGGCTGAGCGCGGCTGAGCGCCTGTACGGGCCGTACATGTGGGGCAGGTATGTCCTGGGAGCCTGGCTGGCTACCTGGGGGAGGGGGGGAGAGATGGCCAGAGGGCAAGTCCCGCCCTCCTGAGGAGTAAACGGGGCCCTACAAGGAGGGCCCCGTGTCTGACCTTCTGGGGAGGAAGTGCCGCTCACCACCCAGGCCCATGGCCCTCTGGGGTCATCTGCCCGCCCTCCCGCCCTGAGCAGGTACGACATCGTCTTCCTGCCCCCCTCCTTCCCCATCGTGGCCATGGAGAACCCCTGCCTCACCTTCATCATCTCCTCCATCCTGGAGAGTGACGAGTTCCTGGTCATCGATGTCATCCACGAGGTGGCCCACAGCTGGTTCGGCAACGCAGTCACCAATGCCACGTGGGAGGAGATGTGGTTGAGCGAGGGCCTGGCCACCTATGCCCAGCGCCGTATCACCACCGAGACCTACGGTACTGCCTGCGGCCAGCCCGGGGTGGCAAGGGTGGTGGCAGGAGACCGAGAGCTCAGCCTGTCCCCCAGGGTGTGGTCCCCCAACATGTGTGTGTCCAGCAGGGTGGCCTTGGGTCAGCTCCACAGGGCTCAGGGTGGGGAGCACCTGGGGCAGCAGCTCAAACCTGCCCAGGTGCTCAGGCTGCCCACCCCCCTCCTGCCTCCACTGCCCCCCTGCCCCCGTCCAGGGGCTGCCTTCACCTGTCTGGAGACAGCCTTCCGCCTGGATGCCCTACACAGGCAGATGAAGCTCCTCGGAGAGGACAGCCCAGTGAGCAAGCTGCAGGTCAAGCTGGAGCCAGGTACCCACTCCCACCAGGCCTCGCCCCGGGCCCTACATACGTCACCCTGCAGGGCCTCCCTGCCATCCCTTGCTTCCTCTGGCTAGAGCCAAGGCCAGGCCAGGTGCCCCCAGCCCTAGGAAGGCCTCCCCTAGGCTCCCTCAGCCTGCCACCGCCTCTCCTGGGCTCTGAGCAGTGGCCACCGTGATGTGTGCGCTCTCGGTTTCCACCAAGGCTCCCTGGGCAGGGCAGGCCCCACCACTGCACTCCCAGGGCATCCAGATAAGTGAGGGCCCTCGGCCCTTCCTGCTCTGCAGCGCCTGACCCCCCCCACCCCCCAGGCTCTCCCCACCCCATCCCAAGAGACCTATTTTGGGTAGGGACGCTGCCCAGAGCCAGGGGTGTTCCCCTTGCAGGAGTGAACCCCAGCCACCTGATGAACCTGTTTACTTACGAGAAGGGTTACTGTTTCGTGTACTACCTGTCCCAGCTGTGTGGAGACCCCCAGCGCTTTGACGACTTCCTCCGAGTGAGCAGCCCTCTCCCCGGGACGAGCCCCGCCCTCTGCCCACCCTGAGCCCCTCCCCACCTCCCAAGGCTGCCTCCTGTCCTGGAGGTTGGCATGGAGAGGGGGGACCTGGGAGCAGCAGGGCAGGACACCGCCTCCTCCCTCTAGCTCCCTCCCAGTTTCAGCCACTTGGCAAGGCCCACATGGCCACGCAGTGCCTCTATGCCCACCCCGCTCTGGTGGGGGATGGTGTGCCCGGCCCCCAGGCCCGCTGAGCCTTGCCCCACCTGCGCAGGCCTATGTGGAGAAGTACAAGTTCACCAGCGTGGTAGCCCAGGACCTGTTGGACTCCTTCCTGAGCTTCTTCCCAGAGCTGAAGGAGCAAAGCGTGGACTGCCGGGCAGGTGAGGCCCACTGCTTGCCACGTGTCCGTGGCCACCCTCAGCCCACCGAGGGAACAGAGGGTGTGAGGATGTGCGGGGGGGGGCGCTCTACTGCACAGGATACTGCTTCTGCCTAGGGAAAGGCCCCTTGGGATCAACTGTCCCTTCTTCAGCCAACCCTAGCCAGATGGCGTGAGCCTCAGGCTGGGACACCATGGGTGCAGAGAGGAGAGTGTGCTTCCTATCCTGATGAGGCCCAGGAGGCTTCCCTGAGGAGGTCAAGCAGGCTGAGCTAGGCAGTATGTGCAGAGGACCTGGGGCATGATTGCTTGGGCAGAGGGAGGTTTGCCTTGGAGCTGTCTGAGGCCAGCTCCTTTGTGATGCCCATAAAAATATCTCTGGGGGTCCAAGGGCTTGGGGCCAAAGGAGAGACTGGAGGGGTCTGACATCTAGGGAGAGGCCAAGATTTGCTGGAGAGCAATGAGGTGCGTGTGGCTGGGGGGTCTGGACAGGGTGACTCTGCTTTGGAAGCTTTAATAAGTGCACCAGGAGTTTTTGGGGGTGGGGAATGGGCAGCACCTGCCCCCAGAACGGCCCAGGGCTTTCGAGCAGGCTGCTGGCCAGCCCCCTTACGTTGCAGAGCACCCCCACACACAGCCACTCCTGCCATTCACCGCCCCCCCCCACCACCACCACACTACCTGGCACTGAGGTTGGGTTTAAAGTGCCTCACTGTTTGGTACCCATGAGAGGCATGGAGGGACAGGGGTACCTCATTCACCAGCCTGAGTCTTCTGGCCTCCCCATGCCCCGTCACAGAAGCCACTCCTGTGGCTTAAGGTAGCAGGTGCTGGAGCTGACCCCAGCCTCCCCAGCTGCCTCTGCCCTGGGGCTCCCACGCCCTGGGACAGTCACACCCAGGGACAGCCTTGGCATCTGGGGTCTCCTGGCTTGGGTGGGGACCCCAGGATGGTATCGCCCCTGCAGGGCTGGAGTTCGAGCGCTGGCTCAACGCCACGGGCCCACCGCTGGCTGAGCCGGACCTGTCTCAGGGATCTAGCCTGACCCGGCCGGTGGAGGCCCTCTTCCAGCTGTGGACCGCAGAGCCTCTGGACCAGGCAGCCGCCTCAGCCAGTGCCATTGACATCTCCAAGTGGAGGACCTTCCAGACGGCGCTCTTCCTGGACCGGCTCCTGGATGGGTCCCCGCTGCCCCAGGGTGGGTCCCGCGGCTGCCAGGGTGGCTGGGTGGGGAGTGCCTGCCCAGCCCTGACCTGCCCACGGCCCCGCAGAGGTGGTGATGAGCCTGTCCAAGTGCTACTCGTCCCTACTGGACTCAATGAATGCCGAGATCCGCATCCGCTGGCTTCAGATTGTGGTCCGCAACGACTACTACCCCGACCTCCACCGAGTCCGGCGGTTCCTCGAGAGCCAGGTACGACCCCCCTGCACAAGCCCCGCCCCCCACTGCTCCACCCAGCCCTCCACTCTCGCCTCACAGGCTGGGCATCCAGGAGAACAAGGTGGGGGACGTGCGGGGTCTCGGTTGCCATTGGGGGTGCACACCAGGTGGGAGGAGCCTGGACCCTGTCAGTCCTCAGGGAGGCCATGCCCTCCAGAGGAAAAGCTGGGAGCACAGTCTGGAGGTCTCGGCCTACATGGCCCTGGGCCTGTGGGCAGTCCCACACCTGGCCTGACCCCAGGGCTGTGTGAGGGTCCCAGGCCTACAGGGGGCTCCAGCCTCCCCACTCTACAAGGCTGTCCCCGGTCAGTGCCCCCGAGTCCAAGCTTCCTGGAAATGAGGCCTCCGCAGAAGGTCCATAGTGGTGTGTGGGGCGAGAGGCCTTGGGCAGCCTGAGTGCGGGCAGTGCAGGCCTGGGCTGGTGGGGCCGGGCCAGGGCAACAGTGTGCCCACCTCCCCAGATGTCCCGCATGTACACCATCCCGCTGTACGAGGACCTCTGCACCGGCGCGCTCAAGTCCTTTGCCCTGGAGGTGTTCTACCAGACACAGGGCCGGCTGCACCCCAACCTGCGCAGGACCATCCAGCAGATCCTGTCCCAGGGCCTGGGCCCCGGCGCCGAGCCCAGCATGGAGCAGGCCAGTGCTGGAGTGGACTCGGAGGTGGACGCAGACACGCCGGCCCTGTTGCTCGGGGACGAGCCTCCCAGCAGCGCCATTTCTCTCAGGGACGTCAACGTGTCTGCCTAGCCCTGACCTCCCAGACACCACGATTGTGCCTTCCGTGGCCCGGGCATGCCGTGACTGTGCCTCGGCCCTGGCGTGAGCTCCTCTGGGGCCCACGCCCCCTCCTGCGGGCTCTCCCAGGGACCTCTCATGGCCGGCGAAGCCTGTGGACCTGGTCTCCCCAGCTCTCTTGCACTGCAGGCCCGGAGAGGCCAGCACTCGCCATGCCTCCCTGTCTCAACACTGACCGCCGGGCACCGCCCTCAGGGTGACAGCCCCGCAGTCCTCACGGCAACTGCCACACTGTGCCTTACATGTGCCGCGAAGTCCAGGCTGCACTGTCCCCACAGCGTGCCTGCACCCCGCGGAGCCCTGCACCCCTGCCCCAGAGGTCGGCAGCCTCAGCTGGCCCCTGGCAGGGGACAAGGACACAGACGTGCCCTTGGTGTAGGGCCAGGGGACACTGAGCAGAGGGTGGACCTCCCTGGGGAGGGGTCCCCGGAAAGCCTTAACCCCTCAGGGAACATGGGGTCCCAGGCCCCCGGGGAAGCGGGACAGGACGGTCTGTCTTGTGGCTGTAACACCCCGACAGGGAGGAGGACAGGTGGGGCTGGTGCTCTTTTAGGCCCACCGTGCCGGGAGAGCCTGGGGGCCCCGGCAGTCCGAGCTGGGCCACCCCGGGGACCGCTGCAACAGGGTCACCATGACGACTGTCCCATTAAACCTCCACTCTGCAAACAACCTCCCAGCCTGTTCACCCGACTCGGCTTCCGCGGGCTCCCCTGGGGCGGGGGCCAGGAGCTGCGCATGGTCTGTCCTCTGACAGCGGAGGCTGAGGGGGCTGAAGGGTCTTCTTCTGCCCTCAGAGGCCCCAGATCCTGCCCTGCAGCCCTGGCTTCTGAGGACCTGCAGCAGCCCCTCCCCACCCCCACCCCCCCACCCTCTCAGGCCCCTGGGCCAGGTCTCTGCTCCCTCCCCGCTGACCCTCAAACACCGAAGCAAGGGAGGCCACTTGTCACCACCCTAGCTCCGGGCCTTTCTCAGCAGTGGCCCCCATCCCAACCTGGAGTAAAGGCAGGGGTGCGTGGTGGGGGCGAGTTGGTCTTGGGTAACCAAGGCAAAGGGCCGCAGGAGCTACAGGTGCAGATGCGGCCCAGAAGGGGGAATGAGGCGGGGACTCCCACTTGGGCGTCCACCACGAAGGCTGACTGACTAAGCAGTGGGCCGTGGGACTGAGGAAGCCACTGAGACCCAAGGCTGAGTCCAGGCTCTGCTCAGGGTCACCCATGGGCTCAGCCTGACGGGGCCGTGCCACTGGCCAGTCCCAGGCACAGAGCCCTGCTCTACACGGGGCCGGGACATAAGAGGACTGGAAATGGTGGGCCCGCAACCCCAGCACCGCCACGCCCAGCCGCCAGGTCACCAATATCCCATCAACTCTTGTGCACTCTAGACACCCCCACCCCCAGAAGATGGCCCGGTCCTCCCCCGCCACGGTCATGGTGCAGCCCACAGCATCTCGGTGGTCTCCAGGAACGTGGGGATGTGCCCGAGGGCTAAGTGGGGCCCACTCAACCCAGAAACTTGTGAACTGGAAGGCCCGTCACCTGCCCTGCGGGCAGACAGGGACGGGACCCCTGCAGCAGCATCCCCGCGGAAGGGGGAACACCCGGCAGCCCCATAGCAATCCTAGCACCCTGCAAGGGACCCAGTCCTGCGAGTGGGGGCCCGGTCCCAGACTCTCTGTGGCCCCTGGCTCCGCCCTCCGGAAGGTCAATTCTCTTCCTGAACCAGGTGTCAACCAAGAAGCCCTCTGTGGGGCTGAGCTTCCTTCTCAGCCTCTCCCCTGCAAGAGGGAAGGTTGTTTTCAAGGCTCTTGTCCCACGCTTTTTAGTCCTGGGCTCTTGGTCTCTTTGGCAATTGGACTCCCAGAAACATGGACTTGCCCGCGGCTCCACGGCCACGGCGCCTTCCTGGGGCCCCGCTAGGTGCGCTTGGCTCCCCGCCTGCCCAGCTGCGCCCACGTGCTCTCTCCCGACTTTGCAGCAGCAGCTCCCAGCCGTCACAACTGGGGGATGGCGCCCATATCCTTGACACTGTCCTTGTCACGGTCCGTCCTGGCCCTGAGCTACCCTCTGGGGCAAGCGGCCGTGCTCCCAGCCCCATGAGGCCCAGCCTTCCTGGCCTCTCGACACTCCCCTTCCCTGCAGCCTGGAAGCCAGGGATACTGTCGTGGCCCAGCCCCTGCCACCCCCCCCATCTTGCTCCATGCTGCCTGTGCCCCACACACGCTGCGGCTGCTCCCGCCAGACCTGCGAGCGCCTCACACACTGTCTGCCCCGTGAGTCACCAGGGCTGGCCTTGACCGTGTCACGCCACCGCCTCGCAACAGCTTGTCAATGTTCCGGCTCCCAGTCACGGCCCCAGCTGCCCCCGCGCCACGGCACACGAGCCCTGTGTTCTGATCGAGGGGCACCCTCCTTGGGGCCGGCTTCTCGGCCGCAGGCTAAGTCGCGCTCCAGCAACAAGCCCTCTGCAATGCCAGCGTTTTCAACAAGGGGTGTTTCTCATTTGTGCTACAGGCTGGCGGTGGGGCGGGCTTTCCATCGCTGTGGTTCCTCAGGGGCCACCCGTGCTGACGAAGCGGAGGACATCCGGAACATTACAGACACCTTGCCAGAGATGAGCGAGAGCTGAGGAGGGGCTCCCACGGGCCCCTCCCACCATGTGCAGGGAAGGGGGGTGGCAAGTGGCAGTAGGGACCCCCGCAGGGCTGAGGGCCGAACGCTGGGAAACAGCTGCATTTTCGGGACAGAGAAGGGAGCAGCCGAGCAGGTAGGAGAGCGGTGTCGAAGGAGCCAGGGGCATGACCCCCAGAAGGGGGACGGCAGGGGCCCCGAGCAGCGGCTCTCGTGGCCATGAGGAGAGCTGACAGCCGAGGGCGGTAGGAGGGAGGCCGCGGGCTTGCATGCGGTGCCCCATGTGCCGGGAGCCTCTCTGGCCCTAGGGTCCCTCAGGCCACTCCTGTGCAGTCCAGCCCGCCCCAGGAGTGCTCCCCACTCTCTCAGGGACTCACTGGGGGTAGGTCCCTCCCCTAAGGCCGGGTGCCTGGGGCAGAACTTCAGGTCTAAAAATCAGGCTTGGCCCGGCACCGCAGGGAGAGGGTCAGCACCCGCCGGACCAAACTTACACCCGAGGGAACAGCAAGCAGAGTGGTCAGAGGACGACGTCACAACACGAAGGAAAGCCTCAGCCATGGGGGGGGGGGGCGGTGCTGAAATATGCCATAAAGCAGGGGTCAGCACTTGCGGGACACTGGGACACACAGAAAAGAACCAGGCAGAGGTTTGGAAACTGTTTTAAGGAGCCATCACTAACATAAAAAATGACCCCCCCCCCAAAAAAAAGAACACTTGGTAGAAAGGTCAAAATGCAGAGAGGTTTCATGGGCTGGAATACGGGACAAAGAATGTTCTAGAGTTAGCAAAGGAGTCTAAAGAGTAAGTACACAGGAAATGTGAAGTAGCAGAATTTCCTCAAGACCAGGTGGTCACGGAGAGACAGATAAAGCCACACACCGTTCACATGAATCGAGGTGCCCTCACTCTGCCCTTGGCTCGCCCTTCCTTCCACAGCTGGGCCCCTGGACCCCAGCCTCCCCTCTGCTCCCCACCACTCTTCCCCATCAGCCCTCCTGGCCCTGGCTCCCGCGTACCTCCCACACCCAGCACAGACTGTCCTTCTGCCAAGAGAAATCTAATGTCAGCTGTCAGCCGTGCCCCGCCCCTCCCCCCCCACTTTCTTGGTACACCGCCACCTGCCCAGACCCTGGGAGAGCAGAGGCCCCAGATCAGGGCACTGGAGTCAAGAGGGATGATCTACGCTGTGCTCATGACAACACGAAACGCATGACCCTTAGAACCCCTCCAGAGCAAGAGTTAGGGGGAAAATTCCTATTAGGAGCTTGTATTATTTTTATTTTTAAAAAATATTAACCTACACCACCACCGAAAAGAAGCCATTCCTCTGTCACAGTGAGCAAAGTGAACTAGGTCCACCTGGCTTGGGCGCTGGCTGTGTCCTCCCCACAGCGGTGCTCACCTGGCCCACCACCTCCTCCCTTTGAAGCTCAGACTCCTTGTCCTAATATGGGACAGTGAAACCTGCCTTTGGGATGGGGAAGGACAAACTCAACACTCATCGTGTTCAAATGAGTTCGACCCTTCGAGCCCTTACGGGTGGATGCAAACACGGCAGAAATGGCCCTATTCCAGCCCTGTCTGGGAATTCCTTCAGCTCGAAACGTCCAGCCGGGGAACGGGAGAGCCAAGCTTCTAGGACCCAACTCCCACTCCATCCCAAACGATTCCAGAGAAGCAGTCCATGTTCTCACGGACCACCCCCCACGGCCCAGGACAGTGGCCCTCACTGACCATTCCCCGCCCCCGCCCCCCGGCCAAGGCCAGCCGTACACTTTGCATTCTTTCTCACTTAATCGTCACGATCACCCTGGGTCCTCTATACCACAGGGTTTGTGGTTGACACAGAGGCCAAAAGCAGCCAGGAGAATCCTTGCGCAGGTGGCTTTAGAGTGGTCCAGTCTCTGGGCCCCTGGGCTGCGGCTCCAGACACCTCCTGGACCTGCTGGGGTGGCCACCCGGGTTCCTGCCATCCCTGTGTTCTGATGGCAGATTTAGCTCTGGGATGGGCACGGTGGAGGCTGTGCCTGCAGGCTGCGGGCCTGGCTAAGCTGGGGGGCTTTGCACCTGTACCCTCCCCTCATTTGGAGACTCCCAGAGAGAAGGCCTTGCCCAGAGGAACAGGTACCCTGTTGCCCACAGGACCAGGACATTGGGCCCCTCTCTGGCCTCTGGGGGTGAGATCCAGGGCCTGCATGGTTTTGTGGGCCAGAGACTGCTCTGTGATTCAGACCTGGCCGCGTGACGGAGAGAACGCCTGCCCCTAGTCCAAGTCAAGGCATGTCCCTGAACAAAGGCTGTTCTTTTGTGAGGAGTCCCATGAGCTTCCTAAACTGACGGGGCACAAAGCCAGTCCTTCTTCCAATTCTGCAGGGCCCCCGGGCTGCCTCACTTGGCACCCCCATCCTGCAGCACCCTCCCTCTTTCTGACTCACGTGACTAGTCACCAAGCACCTTAAAAGAAACTAAATCTCGTTCTCCTTTGCTGGTTCAAAACCTAGGCCCCTGGGCTCACTCTCCTGCCCTGGCCTCAAAGACCTTCCGAACCCACCACACAGTGCATGATCCCTTCAAGTGAGAGCCCTGGGCTGCCCCCCTCACCACCCTCCCCAGGCTCCCACACCACTCATCTGGTCCCTGCACAGGTCACCCTCCCAGCCCACCCCTCAGGACCTATGGGGGCCTTAACACGTGTGCACAGCTTCTCCGATGCTCTCTCCCTGAGTGTGGGCTGCGCTGGGAGGACTTGCTCCCAGTGAAGGGAACGTGGCAGAAATGATGGGAGGACATCCGAGGCGGGTCATAAAACACCCTGCAGGGGCGCCTGGGTGGCTCAGTCGGTTAAGCGTCTGCTTTCAGCTCAGGTCATGATCCCAGGGTCCTGGGATCGAGCCCTGCATTGGGCTCCCTGCTCGGCAGGGAGTCTGCTTCTCCCTCTCTGGCTGCCGCTCCCCCTGCTTGTGCTCTCTCGCTCGTGTGCTCTCTCAAGTAAATAAATAAAATCTTTAAAAAGTAAAAAACACCCTGCAGCTTCTGCCCTCCCTTCCCCTCTTGATGGCTTGCTCCAGGACAAACCAGCCACCACGGGGTGAGAACACTCAAGCAGCTTCACGAAGGTCCACATGACAAGGAGCTGCAGTCTCCCGCTCCAGCCAATCAATCTGCAGCTGATTCAGTTCTGGCCGACGCTGTGACTGCCATCCCCTGAGACCCTCAGCCAGAACCACCCACCTGCTGCCACATTCCTAACCCGCAGAAACTATGACATAATAAATATCCTTCTAAGCCTCTAAGTTTTGGGGTAACTTGATACACAGCGGTAGACAATGAATACAGGTCTCTGCACAATGTCTGTAGTGCTTAAACAAAAGATTCAACTCAAAATTTACTCCAACTGTAAAACTGTATTTACAATCTATGACCAGAAATCCCAAGGTGGACGATCCTAGGACCAACAAGCTCAGGGGCTCGGCGACGCCATCAGGCTCTTCATCTTTCTGCTCTGGAGTCTCCGTGTGCAGGCCTTTGTCTTCTGGCTCATGCCCCTGCGGTCACAAGCTGACTCAGCAGTTTCCGTTACCACACCTCCACACACCAGCAGCCAAGGCTGGCTGCAAGAGAAGGTGCCATCACGTGCCCTGGGTAGATTGTGGGAAACGCCCCCACAGCCCCCCAGATGACTGTTTCCTGTTGCCCTGAGCTGGGGCACATGCTCCTCTCTAAAACTTCTGACCCTGAGCTAGGGAGAGGTCCAGGCTCCCCAGCTGACTTCAGTGGCACCAACTAAATCAGGTTCTTGCTGGTGAGGCAGGGACAGCTACGTGCTGGATCCAAATGGCACGAGGCAGTCTGCCAACCCAGGACTGCAGCCACGGCCCAGCTGTTGCTGCCTGTCCCTTCACCTGGGGCACCTCCACTCTGCCCTCTCCTACTCTGGGTGATGTCTGGGCAGGACACTAGTTTCTAATCTCTGTGTCCCCATGAGAATGCAGGGTTACTGCCTACTGAACAGGGAAGAGATGTGGGGGTTCAGAAGAGACAACCCCCAGCCCCAGCTGTGAAGTCAGAGAACATCCCTTGAAAAACAACAGGGAGTCATCCGGGCACAAGTGTGAGCAGTCATGGAGCACAAAACCTCGAGTAGTGATAACCTGGGGGGCTTGAGGGGAGCAGGCAGGGCTCGGATTCCATAGAACCCGTTAACACCCACAGGCTCGGGAAAGGAAATGGTCAGATGTGTGTCATACATGCCTGCAGGAAGCTGCCTGCTCTCCAGACTTTGGAAGCCTGGGTGAGTGGCACAGATCCTCGGCTGGCCTCAGTTCTGCTGCTAAGCACCCCAGTGTGCTACCTGGGGAGAATAGTCCAGCAGCCCAGGCCAGGTAGGAAGCTTGTCACTTACTCCTTCAGGACCCCGACGTGAAGCAGAGCCCAGGCCTTTCCGGATTGCCTTCAGCTACAGTGCAGCCGCCAGCCTCCCAAGGAGTCATCAGCATCTTCCGGGAAAGCTACCAACATAGGAATGCCACGAAGTCCTAGCATCCCAGAGACTGCTGTTGAGATACCTAGTTGTTTTCTAGAACCTCAACAGAGTGCCCTAGGCCCCCAAACAGCCTGGTGGGTGGGGCTCACACAGTGTGACACCCTCAGAGGGAGGAGCTGCAGCCGTCACAGGAACCTGGGGCAGAGGCTCCAGGACCAGTTCTCTCTCCTGGCAGGAGGGACTTGTCGGATCCATCGCAGAAGGGCTTGGATCGGACTACCCTTCCTATCCGGGGGCTGCGTAAAAACAGCCAGGAACGCAAGATCTGAGTAATCCTAGTAGTGGCGGAGAGCTGCCACGAGAAGGGTTGAGGCCCCTTCTCCTCCCCTGCCCGACCCTCTGTGAAGGCTCCGGTCCCACTGAAGCAGGCTTCGGGGGGCGGCAGGCAAACAACAAGCCTCCGGCTGACTGTCTTCCGTGCTTCCCAGGAATGGAGAAGCACCGGTTCCTGCAGCAAGGGTGAATACTTAGGCAGGTCCCGAAATCCCTGTCATCGCCTGCCCGCAGCTATAAGCGCACTTCCAGCAGGTCACTCACTGTCCAGCCCACCAGGACCATAAGCCCGGTCATCTGCTGCAGCCTCGTCCCCTGCCCCGCTAAGGACCCGGCGCGTCTGGTCCCAAGTGGTCTCGAGACGACGTCCCAGGCCCGGCAGGCCCTCCCCGCGGCCGGCTCCTGCCGGGAGCCCAGCCCTAGGCCACCGCAGCGGCTCGTAGCCGCCGCCGCCGCCGCCGCCGCCGCCGCCGCCGCCGCGCGCCGGGAGGAGCGGCGCTTTCTGGGAGGCGGCGCTGCATGCTGGGACCGCTAGTCCGCGGCCCGACCTCGGCCGAGGAGGCCTCTCAGATCCCTTCAGCCCCAAGAGCCCGCGAGTCCAAGCGGCCCCGACGCCCCGGCCCAAGCCGCACCGGCACGAGGATACGATGCCAGTCTGAGGGCCGGGGATCAGTCGCTGAAGGGTCAGTTCCCCAGACCCCGCCCCGGAAAGAAAAAAGAAACCGGGGCGACGGCGCGGTCTCGCGAGAGCAGAGCTCGGGAGCCACGCCCCCTGAGGGGGACGCGGACTTCCTCAGCTCGAGTGCGATTGGGCCGCTGTGTCACGTGGCCCGGCGGTTACCGCGGCGACCGAGCGGGCGCGCGCGGGACCTGCGGTGAACTCGCCTTCCTTCCGGGGCCGCGCTCGGCGCCGGGGACGCGGGCAGCCCATGGGTGTCCGAGGCGCCCAGGATGCGGGCGCCGGTCAGGGAGCTCTTCCGGGACGCCGACTTCCCCGCCTCGGACTCCTCGCTGTTCTCCAGCTTCTCCACGCCACTGGCCCAGTTCCGCGAAGACATCACATGGAGGCGGCCCCAGGTGGGGCTGTTGGCGCGGGTCTCGAACCTCGGGTCGGGCCCCGAACCTCGGGTAGGCGCCCCGCGCGCTGCCTCCGGCGGGGTGCCGCTGCAGCCCTCAGGAGCGGGGGGGTCCCTCGGGAGGGAGCCACCGCGGAGGTCCTGGCCCGCGCCCTCGAGAGCTCGGTTCCGAAGGCGGTTCGGGGCAGGGCGAGACGTCCGGTGCAGCAGACGCCAGCCCTGCCTCTCTTCTGCTCCGACGGGCGTCTCTCCGGACTGAGCTTCTGGACTGCATGGCCCTCCTGGCCACAGGCGGTCCTGCTCTGTTTCTTGTGTTTGCCGGGATCGACTATGCTCATGATCTTCTGGAAGGGCAAAGCTGTTTGGACTCCGTGCGCCTGCATTTTCACATGTGAACGCTTGAAGGCGGCAATTTAAAGGGACGCTCTGGCCTAGTGCTATGTTGGTATCTTTAGAGATGGTTTATCTGCTGAGTAAGACTTCTCAGGAACGGCCCCCCCTTGCCTGCAAGTACACAGTCTTAATGGAGACCTCTGCATGGTCACCAGTCCTCGGAGCACCTTGGCTCTGGCCACAGAGGTGTTTGGGCAGCACGGAAAGTGCCAGTTTGGCGTGGAAGGAGGCAAGGGCCAAAGCATGAAGTCTTATAGGTCATGCCAGTGGAATTGGAGTTAAAAATGCATTTTAGGCACGGTGGGAGGCCATTAGAGGGTTTTAGTAGAGGAGCAATTTGAGTGGGTTTGTGTTTTAAGAAGCTCACTTTTACTGCTGGCTGGGAAGTGGATTGACAGAGCAGGAATGCAGTGGTCCTAGAGAAAGGTAAAGAGGGTCAGGGTAGTATGGCAACCTTTAGGATGGGGCTTTGGAGTGGATGGATTTGAGAATTAATTTGGAGAGGGATTAATAAGTTTTAGTAACCGATTGGAAGTAGAGGGTGAGGATAAAGCAAGGATCAACAACTTTGAGATTTTTAGCCTGAGCACCTGGGTAGATGGTGGTCCTGTTTCATGTGCTGGGGGACACTGGGAGGTGGGGGACAGCTAGGGATGGAACTCCTGTGTGGCGTTTTGCTCTCACAGGTGTGAGCAGAGCTCTCCACAGGCAGGTGGGCATGAGAGGCAGGTGCTCAGGAAGTTCTGGGCTGCAGGACCCAGACATCAGGGAACGGGGACCGTGACAGGGCCGAGGGCCCCGAACAGTATCTCAGGAGAAAGTGGGTCTGAAGAAGAAGAGAAGGCTTGGAATTGAGCCTTGAGGGACCCTAACGTTTCCCAGCGGGTTCAGGCAGGTTCCCTGGCAGGTGGCCTGGAGAAGCAGCAGGTGGCAAGGTGAAAGGACAGCCAGGAACATGTGGAACCATGGGAGCCAAGAGGGGACTGTGGGGGAGTGCCGGGGACAGCCACTGTTCTGATGGCTGCCAAGCGTCAGGGAAGATGAGAACAGAGAGAAGCCGTTGGATTTGACAACATGGAGGTGACTGGCCCAGAGGCTAAAGGGGCCTGTGCTGAGTGAGCAGGAGGGAGGAAGTAAGGAAGGCAGCATTTTCAAGAAGTCTGCCAGAGAAGGGAAGACTCAAGGGGAGATAATGCAGGGGGGACAGTATCTTAGAGAAGATGGGGGTTCTCTCTGCCCTATGCTGCTGGAATTCTCCCTGCAGGGGCGGAGGAGGCGGGGGTCATGGGAAGAACCCTGGCTCTAAAGGCAGGAGAGGGGGTCAGGTGGAGGTTGCTTCTGAGGAAGCTTCTGGCAGGGTCATCAGCTCAGAGGGGCATGGGCAAGGGCAGGAGCGTGGAAGTGTTAAGGAGAGGGGGAGGGCGTCTGGGTGGCTCAGTTGGTTAAGCGACAGCCTTCGGCTCAGGTCATGATCCTGGAGTCCCGGGATCGAGTCCCACATCGGGCTCCCTGCTCAGCAGGGAGTCTGCTTCTCCCTCTGACCCTCTTCCCTCTCGTGCTCTCTATCTCTCATTCCCTCTCTCTCAAATAAATAAATAAAATCTTTAAAAAAAATAATAATAAAATAAAATAAAATAAAAAAAAGAAGAGAGGGGGAAAGGGGAAGGTAAGGTATCAAGTAGTCTGGGTTTTGGGAAATTCAGCCGGATTCCAGCAGTGTGGAGGCTCTGTCTGAGATTTGCTGTTAGTTTAAAGTGATATCATTTTCTAGGGCAAGTTGGCTGTTTCGAGAAGGGGGATGGTGAGATTCATCTAGAGTTGGGGTTTTGCCACTTTCGGAAGGTGGACAGAGAGAGACAGGGACCCTAGGACCTGAGCTGGACGGGGTGATCTAAAGCCAGGAGGGGCTGACAGATCGGGGCTGCGGGAGGCCAGCTGCTTCCCCTCCCCTCTTAGGCAATGTGGGTGACCAGAAAAGCTCCTCCCCGGTACCTGTCACCTAGATCCTGTCTCCATAGTTTTAGAGACTAGCCTTCAGGCATGATGTAACTGGGTGATACTCTTTATTTCAGGAAATCTGTGCCGTGCCCCGGCTGTTCGCAGATAACCCACAGGAGGGACAGGTGAAGCAAGGGCTGCTGGGAGACTGCTGGTTCCTGTGTGCCTGTGCCGCCCTGCAGAAGAGCCGGCACCTCCTGGACCAGGTACCCGTGGCGGGGCAGGCGGCTCTTCTGCTGACTTCCTGTCTGCTGTGCACAGGGAGGAAGCAGGAAGCAGGGCCGCTGAGCCTCCTGCTCCGTGGGCTCTGCTGTGGTCACCCGGCACAGCTGGCTGGAAGGGAGAGCTCTGCTCTCAGGCTATAGGGGCTCCAAGGCGTGGGCACTGTGTCCCCCTGTCCCCAGGGCTCCAGCGCGGGGGCTTCCTGCCCTGCTCTGCCCTCCGGAGCCCTGGGTTCTGTGCAGGCAGAGCTGTGTGTTTGGGATGCAAAGATGAGCGCACAGCCGCCTAGAGTAGGAAGGGTCGGCGGAGGGGTCCTATGCCGTGGGTTTGCAGTAAGTTTCCCTAGCTAGTCGGTTTGTTGTTTTTTTTTTTAAACAGGTTTTGAATATAAATTGGCAAAGGGTGATTAAAACTGTTTCAGATGCTAGGCAGATAGCACAGGTGTAAAACGCCTGCTCAGAGCGCTTGTCCAGCGTGCACAGCTTCGTTTGGCTCGCTGCTAGATGTCACTGATGAATGCAGCAGCAGTGACAGTGTGACCCATTCCGAGCTACTCCCATGTCCGCAGGCCCCGCTAAGCACACCATAGTTGCTGGCCTTCGTTCTCACAGGCCTTGCTGGCTTTCACCCTCATTTGCAAACGAGGACGCTAAAACCGTTGTTACCATGTTCGTAGCTAGTAAGTGACAGAGCCAGGACCAGACAAGTCTGGGTAGGTGCAAAGCCCACATGTGTCTTTTTCTGGGTCCTAACTCCAAAGCCAGCAGTGAATGCACTGGGTCCAGGCGCTGGCGGAGCTCCTGAGGCACCCCGCCTACCCCCACAGCTCGGGGCTCGTCTGCAGCCAGCTCTGTCAAGAATTGCCTGTAAAAGTCAACGTTTGTTTTGGATTCGGGTCAAGTGCTTACTTGGGACAGTAGGACATCATGGTTGGCTTTAAGCTTTTGGAGACACTTGGCTCCCTCGGTGTGGTCCTAAAACGTTTTACTAAAAAGGCTGTTAGTTTTCTGTGTGACAATTGGGTTTTGTGCCAACACTGACATCAGCTGTGGAGTAAAGTCAGGCCCCTGGCAGGGCAGCAGGGTACTGTGGAGCGGCTCTGGTGACGGCGCGTGGGAAGCACCATGTGGCTTGTCTCTCATGCTCTCCTTTTGCCTTTCCCTGTGCGTGGTAGGTCTTTCCTCCAGGACAGCCGAGCTGGCATGACCACACGTACCGCGGCTCCTTCACCTGTCGAGTTTGGCAGTTTGGACGCTGGGTGGAGGTGACCATAGATGACCGTCTGCCTTGTCTTGCAGGGAGACTCTGCTTCTCCCGGTGTCAGAGAGAGGATGTGTTCTGGCTTCCCTTACTGGAGAAGGTCTATGCCAAGTACGCATGCTGGAGGCTGGAGGGGCTGGGCCGGGGTGGGCTGGGGAGTCATAGCTGCCTGAGGCCGCCCCTGGGGAGCACGTCTCCGCTCTTCCTGGGCTGCAGCACCCTCCTCAGTGCCCGGGACCTGGCAGCCAGGCCTGCGGTGAGACCGGCCTGTCCAGAGACAGAAACTCTGAGTCGTGGCCTGTGGCATGCGTCTTCCCCCAGCCCATTCCCTCTTTCCCCGTCCTTGCTTCAAACTCGGGCCCGAAGGCATCATTCAGCACGGCAAGCCGTGGGAGGGGTGAAGCCACCCAGGTCTCAGTGCTGCTTGAGGCCGTGCCCCTCACCCCGGGTCTGGATGGGCAAACTCCTGTCTTAGAATGCAGCGATAAGCTTGCCGGGAGAGGCCGCATGGATAGGCAGGCCTTTGTACGAAGGGAGTGAGCAGGGCCTGCAGGGATGTCACTGTGAGCGCCTCCGTTCCGGGGCTAGGGTGGGGTTTGAGCTTGAGAAGTGGAAGAGTGGGTGTTCACAGCCTCACGCCCTGCGCCACCTCATGCTTGTGTCCGCAGTGGAGGCCGCAGGGTGTTGCTGGGCTGCTGTGCTTTCTGGCCTTTGAGGGTCAGATGACGTCTGTACTTAGGACAAGGCAGGAGTAAAGAGAAGCCATTGAAGTGGTGGGTGAGGTGATTTGGGGGTGTTGCAGACGCGGGGATGGAAGAGAGGCAGGGCGCCATGCCCCAGTGCCAGAGGCTCACTCCCTATGGTTGCCCCCCCAGGGTCTATGGGTCCTATGAGCACCTGTGGGCAGGGCAGGTGGCGGATGCCCTGGTGGACCTCACCGGGGGCCTGGCAGAAAGGTGGAGCCTGAAGGACTTGGCAAGAACCAGTGGCCAACAGGACAGGCCCGGTGGCTCGGAGCACAGGACTTGCCGACAGCTGCTCAGCCTCAAGGACCGGTGTCTGATAAGCTGCTCGGTGCTCAGCCCCAGAGCAGGTAAGGCGTCAGGCACACGGCAGCGGAACGGGCCTGTGCCCCCGGACGCCCCTACAGCCGCACAGGGGCTTGTTCTCGGGGCCCCGTGAGGACTAAGTGGAAAGCAAGACGTTTGTCTTTCAAAGCTGGTGTCTGGTGTGTGAGCTTCCCCTGCCACCTGTCCTTCTCTGGAGGGAAGGTCCTTTTCCCTTGACTTTTTTCTTCTTTCCCCTCGACTTACGAGTAGGGCGAGGCTGGAGCCTCTGCCAGGGCAGCCGCCACCCGGAGACTCGAGAACCTGGTGGTGGCAGCATCTCCGGCCTGGCCGGCAGCCTGGCAAAATCAAACTCAGGTTTTCATTTGAGTGATGTCCGCGCTCGTTACAGGAAGTTTCTTGAAAGGAAGAAACCCCACACGCAGAACTATTTCTCCGTGGCCCTGGGGCTTTTCCGCAAACAGGCATGTGTGCGGCACGTGACATGGCCCTTTCTCGGGCGCCGAGCACACCGCCGCCGTCTCATTCCGTCGGTGAAGCCGCCATGTTTTCTTACTCTTTCCCTGAATGCCGGGCAATTTCGCACATTACAGATGGCATTACTGAACGTTTTCGTGTTTGACAGCGTTCACGTTTAGGATGATTTTCATAATGGGGTTTTTGGCCCAAGAACCCAGACACCGAGGTAAACGGGTGCGTGTGGACAGCGAGCGCTGCCGACCTGGGTGAGGGCCGGGGCCGCCCCGACGCTGGGGAGGTGAGGGAAGCCCGCAGACAGCCGTGCACACTGTGCGGGGCACGGCGTCCGAGCTCCCCCTGAGAGTGGGGCAGGGCTCACCCTTAGCGCTGCAGGCTTCGCCGACACCCCCAGGCAGAGGGGGTGCTGCTGGTGCGCAGCTGGATCCCACGGAGGTGTCGGCGCAGACACCCAGAGTGGTGGCTACAACGCTGTTCTAAATAAAGCTTTTAAAGGCGTTCCAGAAGTTTCTCCTCCTCTCTGGACCGCCCCCGCCCCCCCCCCCCGCTTCCACAGATGGGGCTCCAGGCACCATCTGGCTCCTCCCTTTCCGCATGGTTTGACCCAGGGCTCTGGGGGCTCTGGCAAGTGGGGTTGTTTGCTCCCTGGGGCCTCCAGTCTTCCCCCCAGCAGCGTTTGGTCCCATGGCCCCCGGCCGTGCGTGCCCCACCCCCACCCCGCGCCAGCTGGCCTTGCCAGGAGGAGACTGCTCTTCCTGCCTGTCCCAGACCTGCTGCTGACAACGCTTATAGCTGCACGTTTGAGAACCTGCCCAGCACCAGGCGCTCTGCGCTGCCATATCGGCCAGCCGGCTGTCCTCACTCATCCACCCAGGCGGGGACCAAGGTGCCGAGAAGGGAAGGACCTGCCAGGCCCTTGGCAGCCGAGCCACAGTCCGCATCCAGGTCCTTTGCTGTGGCTGTGCACTGGCTAAGGCACTTCTGAGCTCACTTGTCCACAGTGGTCAGGAAAGGAGCCCCGGTGGTCTGTGGGGATCTGGGTGTTGCTGTGGCCACAGTCGGGTGGGCTAGAGCATCCCACGGGGAGGGAGACAGACCTGTGCGTCTGCCTGGTTTGGGGACTTCCTGCCTGTAACCAAGCTGTTCCTCACCAGGTGCCAGGGAGCTGGGGGAGTTCCATGCCTTCATTGTGTCGGATCTGCGAGAGCTCCAGGGGCGGGCTGGCCAGAGCATCCTGCTGCTGTGCATTCAGAATCCCTGGGGCCGGCGTTGCTGGCAGGGGCCCTGGAGAGAGGGGTGAGTATGGGCGAGGGCCAGGGCTGTGCTGCCGTCATCGAGGGGAGAGGGCTGGGGCCCCAAATGGCAGCGGAGAGCCATGACAGACGTGCGCGTGCCCGTTTGTAGCTGGTCAGCGCAGTGCGCAGTTGGTCTCCCGCAAGGCCCCCTTGGCACCTGCTTGTGGTCCCCCGGGTCCTGTGTTTGGCCCCAGACAGCCCCAGGAGGCTGGTTTAGTGCTTGGTGCTGGGACCGAGGCCGCCCTGGGCCCTGGGCTCCTTCCTTGAGGGTGCCCATGGAACGGTGGATGCCCGGTCAGGCTGCGGGTGACAGGGACATGTGGGATGCCTGAGTCCCAGTGCTCAGCTCAGCTTTAAGGCCTTTACTGACGCCAGGGACCAGGATTGAATGAGGGCCCTGGGTCCACTCCCCTCGGCCGACCACAGTTGGTCAGCAGATCCGACCTTTGCTCCTGAGTGCAGGAGGCTAGCGGCAGCTCGGTGTGAGATCAGGCACATCCTTCATTGGCCCGCTCATGGGCACAGCCCTCGGCAGACATGTCCGGAGGCAGGAGCCTCAGAGAAGGAGAGAGGGGATTGCCCCGAGGAAGGGCCGGTGTGGAGCCAGTCTGAGCAGGGCCGGCAAGAAGCTGGCAGGGCACAGGGCTCCCCAGTCAGTGCTGTCAGCTCTGGGGTGAGGGGCTGCCGCTGAAGTGAGCTGCCTTCCAGGGGCGAAGGGTGGAGCCAGGTGGACCCAGCCGATGAGTCTGAGTTGCTGTCCCAGCTGCAGGAAGGAGAGTTCTGGGTGGAGGAGGAAGAGTTCCTCCAGGAGTTTGATGAGGTCACCGTTGGCTTCCCGATCACGGAGGCTGGCCACCTGCAGAGCCTCTACTCAGGTAAGGGGGAGGCCTGCACCCAAGGGGAGGCCGCCATCACCTGGGGTAGACCCTTGGGGGGGCGATAACCCACACGGCTCTGCCCTCTGAGGTCAGGGCTGAGCGGCCACCGCGTCCCCCTAGGGGGTCCTGGGCTTGACCCTCGCCCCAGGCCCTCTTCTCCTTCTGTGTGTGGAGAGATGACTTCATCCCCTGCCGTCCCAGGCGGCCTCAGGTGGCGGGAGACCACGGGGCCCCCTCCTGTAGGGTGCCGTAGCCGGTGTGGGTGAGAGTGGCAGGGCAGCCTGCGTGGGAGCCCTTTCCTGAAGCTGCTGTTGCTGGCTCTCCCCTAGGAAGGGTGCTGTGCCACACTCAGGAGCTGCCTGGGGCCTGGGTCAAGGGGCAGTCGGCAGGAGGCTGTCGGAACAACAGCGGCTTTCCCAGCAACCCCAAGTTCTGGCTGCGGGTCTCAGAACCGAGTGAGGTGTTTGCCGCTGTCCTGCAGAGACCCAGGGTGTGCACCGCGGGCCAGGCAGGCCGGGCTCGGGCTCCGGTGGGGGACAGGCTTGCCGCAAGGAGCCCGGCCAGCTTCCTGGGTGAGGACTACCAGGCTGTGGGCCTGCATATCTGGAAGGTAACTCTGCCCTGGGCCCAGCTCCCTGCTCAGGGTCTGGGGTTGCTGGGACACGAGCGACTGCCAGGAGCCTCACCGGCCTCATCCTCCAGGGTCGCACGCCCGCTGGAGCTCCCACAGCCCCAGCTCTGCCCGGCCGGCGTCGTCGGACAAAGGGAGATGAAGCAAAAGCAGCCCTTGGCCGACTGGCAGGAGGGAGGGGAGCACGGCCCTGTCTAGACCGGTCTGCTCTCCCCTAGAGCAGAAGGACTCGGACCCCGGGGTCGAGTGAGAGCCTTGGGTTGGGGGCACTTCGAGCTGGCCCCCGCCGTGCTGGGGAGGGACTCACAGGTCTGGGTGCTCTCTTTCGTTAAGTCGTTTGAGAGGCCCTTCTGCTGGGTGAAGGCCGTGGGGCTGGTCTCCGGACGGTGGCACACGGTCCTCCTCTGTGTAGGTGGAGAAGCGGCGGGTCAGCCTGCCCAGGGTCCTGTCCACGCCCCCCGTGGCCGGCACCGTGTGCCACGCCTATGACCGGGAGGTCCACCTCCGCTGCGAACTCACACCAGGGTACTACCTGGCCGTGCCCAGCACCTTCCTGAAGGACATGCCGGCGCAGTTTCTGCTGCGGGTCTTCTCTAGCGGGAGAGTCTCCCTCAGGTGAGAGGAGCAAGGAGGGGCTCTAGGCTGTTCTCCCCCAAGGGCCCGGCTGAGGAAAGGGGAGCGCGGCCCCAGGCAGCGTCCTGGAGATTTGCGTGTGTTCGCGGCCCACAGCGCAGGCCTGGAGCGTGCTACCAGCCGCCCTCCTGTGTGTCTCTCCCGGGCAGTGCCATCAAGCCGGCGGCTGGGAGCCCTGCCCCTGGGGAGGCCCTGCCCGCGGGCGAGTGGGAGACCGTGCAGCTGCGGGGCTCCTGGAGAACCGGCCAGACAGCAGGGGGCAGTAGGAACTTTGCCTCCTACCCGAGCAACCCCTGCTTCCCCCTGTCGGTCCCTGAGGGCCCAGGCCCCCGCTGCGTCCGTGTCACCCTGCGTCAACACTGCCAGGACACCCAGTGCCACCCCATCGGCTTCCACGTCTTCCAGGCAAGCTCCTCCTGCGCTGGGGGTGCTGGGGGGAGGTCCTCAGAGACTCTGTGTCCCCACGGGTGGCCGGGCATGACCGAGGCCTGGACTCGGTCATGCGGGCACGGCCGGCTGGCTGGTCCCATGCAAGGTACATGTCTCGGTTTCCTGAAGTCTATAATTCACTGGGGTCCTGGCTCAGCTCACACGGCCTCTTGGCCACTCCCCCAGCTCAGAACGATGGTGTCCTGAGGTCAGTTCTCCCCAGAACTGTGCCTCCCGCCCAGGAGACCGGATGGCGTGCCCCGCCAGGAGCTGCCCCAAAGCCACGCAGCCCTGCCCTTCCCTGTGCCCCACCCCCTGGGGCTGCTCCTCTGGAGAGCGGGCGTACCCTGGGGGCCAGGAGGAGGCCCTGGCCCGGGCTCGCCGGGCAGAGCGGGAAAGGGAGGGAGGGAACCACATAAGACAGTGTGGGGCCCTGGTGGACAGATGCCACTGAATGCAGTGCTCAGATGATTCTCAGGTCAGAAAGCTGTCCTGGGTGGAGAGGAGCGGGTGTTGAGGCCCAGGTGGGGCCTGTACGTCATAAACGCCACCCCAAATCTCATTTCTCCACCTCAGCCTGCTCTCGTTGTGCCGTGCTGCAGGTGGGACACCTTAGCAGACTGTGGTTGGGGGAAGGGGGACAGGCACACTGCCAGAGGTCAGAGGTCGCAGGCCCAGATGCCATGGTAATGAAGTGGCTCCCAGCCCACATATATGCTCCTCCTGGGGGCCCCACTTCAAGATGGGCTTGACGGACTGGTGGGTGCCCGAGGAGGGCATGGGCCCGCACGGTGGCTCCGTTGTGGGGTGGGTGCGCCCAGCCTGGGCTGCAGATGACGGGAGGGAAGGGTAGGCAGGTCTCTGAGAAGCTTCTGTACCCTTGGGAGGACAGAGCCTCTGTGCTCCCCAAGAGTGGAGGGCTCGTTCTGGAGTCTTGCTCTGCCCGGGCTGCCAGCTGGGGCACCAGGAGCTCTGATAAAAATGCCAGCACCAGGAGCCAGTCAGATGACTCGGGACAGAGCCCTGGGCAGTGGTGATGGTGGCAATCCCCCAGGCAAGGGCTGCCCGCCTAACAAGGGCCGTGGGGCCTCGGTGAGCAGTGAGCCCAGCTTGGCAGGCTTGGCAGCTCTTCCTCCCTGGAAAAGGGCAGGTGTGTGACGTGGGAGATCCAGGCGGATGGCCCCAGACTCGTCCTGACCCCAGACATCCAGCCTCAGAAAGGGAGGAAAGTCCCGAACTGAGGAAGGAGAGCAGCTCTTGGTGGCCGTGGCGGCCCAGTGGACAGGCCTCCCCTGTCTGAGCCCGTGCATCCCCCAGGTTCCAGTGGCCGGGGGGAGCCAGGCTGCGCCCAGCCTGCTGCTCCAGGAGCCTGTGCTGAGCTGCGTGCCGCATCGCTACGCCCAGGAAGTAAGCCGGCTCTGCCACCTGTCGGCGGGGACCTACCGGATCGTGCCCTCCACCTACCTGCCGGACACAGAGGGGGCCTTCACGGTGACCATCGCCACCAGGATAGACAGGTGGGGCTCCAGGGCTAGGGGGTCCTCAGTGTATGGTGTGCACCTCCCTGTCGTCGCCCCAGCTCTGACCTGTCCCGGCAGACCAGCAGGGGAGCACGTCAGCTTGCAGGGGCCAGGCAGGAGAATGCAGCCGTTCTTTGAGCTGGGGGCCAGCCGGGCTACCCTGTTTTCTCTCCTGCAGGCGCTCCATTCACAGCCAGGAGAGGCTGGGGCAGCTCCTTCAGGAGGTAGGTGTGGGGCTTGGGTCAGGGCCCGGCCCCGTACTCTGCCTGGGGGCCACATTCCCGCAGGCTCCTCCCAGAGGCCGCGCTGCAGGCCAGGCTGTGCCCTGGGACACAGGCACCCTTGTCTCTTGCCAGGAGGACCGGGAGGCTGGGGCTGCAGTCACACCCCGGCAGTGTGGCCAGGTGCATGAGGGGGGCGGGCCCCCGCCGCCACCCAGACCTCGCCGTCTTTCCTCCTGTAGGCCTCCTTCATGGCAGTTAGGAAAACCTAACTGGGTGACCCCCCGTGTCAGCTCTGGCGACTGAAGGTTCCGAGGGGCTCCCTCACACGGTGCCACCAGCCTCAGCACCGCGGCGACCGCGCATGCTCGCGGGTCCAGGCAAAGACCCCCGCCCCATGGGGCAAGTAGCCCAGGGCACAGCAGGTGCCGCGGGAAGGGCAGGGGAGACGGCACACAGGGCATCTCTGTTCCACGCAGCTGGAGCTGCAGAGCTTCCCGGCGACCCTGCACAGCGTCTGCGCCTGGCCCCAGAGAGAGGCCCTACAGCAGACGAGAGCATAGTATGACAAATCTTGCTTAGAACTATTTATGTGCAACGTTTTTAGGAAGTAACTTTATAAATAAACGTTGAGTACTGAACGGTTTACAGACGAGTTGTCTCGGGTAGTGGGTGGCCCGGTCCGCTGTCACTGAGGAGGAGGGGAAGGCCCGGGCCCTGCCTCCCCTGGGGCCCTCCGCCCAGCCGCTCCTGCACTGGGGATGGCCGCGGCCTCCAGGACGGGCCCGGCTGGCCTGTGAGGCGGGCACAGCGGGTGCTGAGAGGTTTGGAGGGCCGGGGAGGGGTGTGCGCGCGCCCTGGTACAGGAGCAGAAGGAAGGCCCTTACCCCCGCTGGCTGCCCGGAGAGACCCCGAGGAGCTGCCAGCTGCAGCTGTTTGCGCCTGAGGTGGGAGGAGGCATCCCTTCAGGCCCCTGGGCCCCTAACCAGGTGGACGCAGTAGGCCCTGATCTCAGGCCTCTCGCCCACCACCTCCCACTTTGACTTGCCAGTGCCCTGTTGTCACCGTCACCAGGGTGTCCGGCTAACGCGCCACCCTTCCAAAGGAGGGCAGGAGGCCGCTCCTGAGAGAACTGCTGCTCACTGCCCCACCCCCCTTCGCATATGGGCAGGACACCTCTAGAAGGCAGGGGCTGGCCTTTCCGTGGCAGAGGGGCGGGATCAGAAGCTGGTACCGCTGCGTGAGTGGCCCTTGCTGCGACCCTGTGACCCGTTCTCTGGGGTCGAGTGAGGACAGAGGAGGGCCCCCAGGATCTGCAGCCACTTAGATGGGAAGGCATCCTGGAGGAGGCAGCCAGCCACCAGCTAAGCTGGGCTTCTGGGCCCGGCCACGGCCGTGGGGCACAGGCGGTGGCCCCTGTGCCGGAAGAGGTGGAGAGTGTGCCCCAGCACGTGCGCCATCCTGGCCAGCAGCTCCCGGTCCAGGCCAGCCTTGTCCTTCCTTCACATGGCTCCTTCACCTGACCTTGCCCCCAGGGCATCCTCAGTGGCCGCCTGGTTCCCGTCGGCGACGCCACCTCCTGGCCCAGTGACCTTCAGAAGTAGCTTGCGTCCTCTGGGCTTCGGTGTCCTTGCGGAAAACGTGTCCGGGCTCTGGCCACGCTCGGTGTGTCCCGTGTCTGGGCTCTGGCTCTCTGCTTTGCCCTGGAGTCCTTGGCCTGGCTCGGCCTGCAGAGTGGGTACCAGCTCAGCTCGTCCTGCTGAGGAAGGGAATGATGGAACGTGGACCTGTGCCCCCACCACCCCTCAGTGAGACACAACCCCCCCCCCCCCCCCCCCCCCAGGCATCAGAGATCTCCTGGTTCCACCTCTCTTCTCATGTCTGGCATTGTCCCCCACCCCCAACCCCATGCAGGATGCACCAGCTGAGCTGGGGCTACAGACCACAGAGCCCCACAGGCTCAGGGCCGGCCCACAGCTGCCTCACCCCTCTGCCGTGTTGACCGGTATGGACTGGAGCCCCCCGCCGGCCCCGGCCTGCAGCTCCAGGGACCCCAGCAGGCGTGGCTGGCCGCACCGAGGGAGCCCCAGCAGCCAGGCCCCAGTGGAGTCCCGATTCTGTGCACCTGCCAGTGGGGGACTGCATAGCATGAAGGGCCTCCCCCCTGTGTCTGGTGGCCCCAGCCGACCCAGAAGGGTGGGTCTGGGTGTGTGCAGCTGAGAACACCTTTTCAGCCTTCCCGGCAGACCATTGCCCCACATCTTCTGTTCGGGTTTCCTTCTCCTTATCACTTCCTGCTTCAGGCAGGCAAGCTGTGCCCTCCCCGTGGGAGCCATGTCCTGCCCAGTCGTGGGCCTGGGTCTGCTCTCATTGGCCTCGCCTGCCCCCTCCCCCAGGCCTGGGTCAGCCTTGGGGGCGTCGGGTGTTCTGGGGTGAGTATCAACATCCTGGTGCCCTGGGCGCAATAGTCAGGGAGGGGGCCTGGCCGGGCAGTGCTTTCCGGGTGAGAGGCAGGATGGAGCTGGGTGAGCAGGGCCCAGGCCAGCCAGGCTGGGGCAAGGTTCTCAGATGCTCCACGCCCCTTCCTCTCTGTCTCTCTGTCTCTCCATTAATGGTCATTTCTTACTTGCTCAGTGTCCCATGTCTGCGTCATTTGGTCTTACTAGATTTTTTTTCTCCTCTAATATTTAACAGATGGAAGCTGGATTTGCTGCCTTTTGAAATGAACAAAAGAGTCATTTTTTTCCTGGGGACACTTTGGTGTCTTGGGGACCCCAACACAAAGCCTTGAACATGGCTGCTCCATCAAGGAGATGCTATTTGCTGGTTTTGAGGATGAGCTTTAGGGGGCAGGCTGCGCCTTCCAGCCCCCAGGAGTACTCAGCTCTGCGGCTCGGGCCCAGTCCCTGCCTGGGTGACCTGAGCTGCAGGGCTCTGGCTGGTCCTCTGATTCCCAGCAAGTGCCAACTGTGTCAGCACAGACAGTGGTCACGCGTCTGGCCTGGGAGCCTACTCACTCGGGCCCTGGGGAACACAGGGCATGGAGGTTTAGTCACCAGGCTTGTGCACGGTTGCCTAAAGCACCCCCCATCCCATGCCTGCCCTCCCCCCACAGACAGGACCAGGGCTCAGGCTTTGCCCATCCTCAGCTGCCTGTCCCTTCACAAATCACCCAGGAGGAGAGGCTGATAGACAAGGAGACCGCCCTGCCTTGGGCTGGGCTGGCTGCTCTGTCAGGGGTCAGTCCTGGTCCCCTATGTGTTCGTGGGGCCTGGACAAGTGTGATGTTGGGGCACTAGGACGTGTGTGTGTGTGTGTGTGTGTGTGTGTGTGTGTGTGTGTGATCTGATTGATGTGCTCTCATCCCTCATCCACCAAGCCCCAATGAGAAGACCCGTCAGCATCAACATCCCTCTCTACCCTGCTCCCCCTGTTCCTTCATTCTGAAGCCCCTCTGAGCATGTGTGGGGTGCTATGGATGTGGCCAAGAGGCCCAGCACCCCTGCCTTTGAGGCATGCACAATCCATTAGGGATGACTATCTCCACACAGGTCATGTGGATACTCCTGATGGTGAGGGAAAGATGACACATGGGGGTGGTCCTTGACCAGCCTGGGGCCAGCAGTGCAGGGCAGGGGCTGACAGAGGAGCTGGGTACCCGCAGGGAATGGAAAGAAGCTCTCTGTGCCTACGGTGTGGGGAGTAGGCTCAGAAAATGTGGCAGGAGCTGAGGCTGGAAAGGTAGGTAAGGGCCTTGAGGTCTATTTAAGGAGCTTGGGTCTTATGTCTTGGGTGATAGGAGCCACTGCACAGTTTTAAGCAGGGTCTGATGTGTGTATACTTGACATCACTCTCTCTGGTCGAAATCTCTGGATGGGGAGGGCACCAAGCAGAAGGCTGTTGCAGACATTAAGGGAGAGATGATGGTGTCCTGGCCAGACGGGAGGTGGTAGAGGCAGAGAGAAGAGGTCAGTGTTGAGGTAGAGTTAGGAGGCAAAACCAATGGAACATGATGCTTGATGCATTATTAATTAAATCGATCACATAAATCAACATGAGGAGAATTGATCCCTTCCAATCCATGAACATGGTATACCTGTCCATTTTTTGAGGTCGTCTTTAATTTCTCTCAGCAATATTTTGTAGCTTTGAGCATAGATATTTTACACTTTCTCTTAACTACTTTGTTTTTTGACAGTTGCAAATGATACTGTATTTTGGGTTTCATTTTTCCAGTTTATTGCTAGTATATAGGAATACATTTTTTGTATATTAATTTTGTGTCCTATAACCTTGCTAATTCACTTATTAGTTCATAGTTTGGGGTTATTTTTTTTTTTTTTGTAAATTCCTTAGGATTTTCTACATACACAATTATGTCGTATGTGAAAACAGAAAGTTCTGCTTTTTTCTTATCTGAATGCATTTTTTCTTGCCGTATTTCTGCTGCCAAGGACCTCCAATACCATTTTGAATAAAAGTGGTGAGAGTCCACTGATATGAGGAATTCTTAATCTCAGGAAACAAACTGAGGGTTGCTGGAGTGGTGGGGGGTGGGAGGGATGGGGTGGCTGGGTGATAGACATTGGGGAGGGTATGTGCTATGGTGAGCACTGTGAATTGTACAAGACTGATGAATCACGGATCTGTACTTCTGAAACAAATAATGCAATATATGTTAAGAAAAAAAAGAAGAAAAAGAAGAAGATAGCAGGAGGGGAAGAATGAAGGGGAGTAATTCGGAGGGGGAGACGAACTATTAGAGAAGATGGACTCTGAAAAACAAACTGAGGGTTCTAGAGGGGAGGGGGTGGGGGGACGGGTTAGCCTGGTGATGGGTATTAAAGAGGGCACATTCTGCGTGGAGCACTGGGTGTTATGCACAAACAATGAATCATGGAACACTGCATCAAAAACTAATGATGTAATGTATGGTGATTAACATAACAATAAAAAACTATTTAAAAAAAAAAAAGTGGTGAGAGTCACTTTCCTTGTTCCTGATCACAGTGGGAAAGCATTCAGTCTTTTACCATTAGGTGTGATTATTTTTTTGTAGGTGCCCTTTGTCAGACTGAGGCAATTTTCTTCTATTCCTAATTTGCTGAGAGTTTCTATCATAAACAGATGTTGAATTTTATCAAATGATTTTTTGCATTTATTGAGAGGATTATATAAATACTCCCCTTTATTTTATTAATGTAGTCAGTTATATTGGCTGACATTGTAATGTTAAAATAAACCTTACATTCCTGGGATACTTTTTTGTGAT